TTTTTATCATATTTGATATACTTTTACAAGTTATATTAAAACCTATATTTACTTGTTAATCTGTTATATTTCTATGTAAATTTAAATAAATAAAAATAAATTATATTCTGTAAAATTTCTTAATTTACTTTAAAACATTTCAATTCACCTATCACTGATGAAACACAATCCATATTTCTTTCTTTCAATTTATGGCATATATTATTAAAACTATTGCATATAATTCCCTCTTATATCTCTATTTCAATTACGCTCTACATGCTAATTTTAATGGTTATCAAAATTTAAAAAACATTAAATATTAAGAATAATAATATATAATTATTATGTGAAAATTGAAATACAGAAATAAGTATTGGAGTATCAAATAATAAATAAAAATAATCTAAAATATAAAATACAATTCAAAGAAGTTAAAATTATTGATTTCTCCAAAATGGGTTCCTAAAAAACTCTCATAGCGCTTCCCCGAAAAGAAGTCAAGAACCCCTCGTAAGAGCTCTTATAAAATTTCGTTTTAGAATGGTTATTTATAGGACTTTAAAAACCGGTAGCAAAATAATTGGAATTTTATTGCAAATAGATTTTTAAAATCACAGGGTGTCGATACCTTAGCGGTAGCGTCGGTACCTCTTATTAATTTGGAAAAGGATTCGACCGCGTCGGGATTTTTGGGCTTTTAGGCAATTTTCTGCAATGGCAAAACCACAGCATTGGTCTCTCAACTTCTGCTTTCTGCAAACTTTAATCCTTGAACTTCAAATTTCTTCAGCGATGTCCTTGACTTCAACTTTCTATCTTGCAATTTAGTCCTTAAAGCTTATAAGTATTTCCTAATACAGTCTTAATATTTCCGATATCTTCTAGTTCAGTCCTTTTCTGTATAAACAATGAAAATCAGGTTAAATCTAATGAAATCATAATAAACCCATTCAATTATCAATAAAATCAATGCAAAATCAACACAATAAAATATGAGAAATTTCAATTCATCGAAACACTATCAAATATGATCAAGGACAATGCAAATGAATAACCCATTCCGAAAAAAGTGCCCCTAAATTAGCCAAAGTGATTAATTGAAACCATTGAGGCAACATGTGGCACCGCAAGGGACAATGGGCCAATTTGATATAGCGATTCAATTCCAGCAAATAATAGGTAACAGGTAATGGGTAATGGGTGATAAATACTAAATAGCAGATTTTAATTGATAAAACTGTTTAGTTATATAATAGTTAATAGTCATTGTTTGATGTTAAATGATTAATAAAGACATTTTTAAAAGTAATTAAGTGTTTTTTTATTTTTTATTTTTTATTAAAATTATTAATTTTATCAAAATAATAAGAAGAAAATAAATAAATAAATAAAATATAAAAGTTTGAATTAGACACTCATTTCTATTTTTAAATTAAAAATATAAAATTTTAATTATTTCTTCTAATTAGCAATTCTTGTTTATTAAGTTAATATAAATTTTTTTATGATAAGTTAATGTAAAAATAAAAAACATAATAATTATTTAATGTTATTGAAGGGGAAAAGTGAAGTTGAAACCAATTAGATAATTATAATTAAAGATTGTAGCAAAATTTTTCAAAACTAAAATGGGTAAATTTGTTAATAAAATTAAAAATTTTTAGTCTACTAGCAATTTGGTATAAAAGTTATCTCAACTAGCATTTTTAATTCTTTAACAATTTGGGTTTAACTACTATCTGTTAATTTTAAACCACTAAATAAAAAATTTTACCAATCACTTAATTTGTAATGGTTTCATAGTAAACAAATTTACCAAACACCTATCTTATTGTAGTTTGGCAAATCGTTAATCAATACTCCCAAATTACTGTACCAAATAAGCCCAATAGCTTAGCTTTTTCTTGGTTTTAATCCAGAATTAATTAAATTAAGCATGTCTTTTTCTTAATTAGCATAGCTACATGCATGTTGGCTCTTCTCTTCAAGTAACTAAACACCAATCATTCAGAGCATAAAATAGAACGTTTATCTAAATGATGAAAGCCCCTTCTTCTAGACCCTTCACCTACAATAGTTATTTCATCTACACCGTTGCAACCAACCCTTGACCTCTTGAAGCCCATCTCTTCTCCACAATAGTTAATGCAACCCGCATTAATTAAGTAAGCCATTGTTCCCATCACTAAAGACCTTGCTCCCAAATCCTTTTGGGATACCTTTATGGATGGAATCACAAATTGCAAGAAGTGACTAGTGATTGTGGAAGACCTAATGGCAACAAATAAAGATTGATATGTCTCTTCCCATGGTTGAAGATAGAGTTTTGCTAGTGGTACGAAAGGTCCAAAAAGTTGTGATACTGGAAAATATCTAGTGAAGACTCAGTGCCTTGTGGGAAAATGTTGTGATTATCAAATTATTAGGGAAGTCAATTCACTTTTATGTCTTATAATCTCGTCTTCTAAGAGACTACCATACAGAAAGAGAATTAGTGTGATTCAAATGCATATTTGCTTAAGTCCTATGATAATGGGGAGAGACTAAATCCTAAGGGGAGCAAAAAGGATACAACAAAAAGTAAGGCACAACCAAGGCAATGTGTTATAAGGGAGGATTAACATGTTTTCAAAATAACTATTTTGAGAATGGGGGGTGTAATAGATTTTTGGTTCCTCTTCACGGGATTTAGTCCAGTAACTCCTTGACCCAAGTCAAACCCACTAAGAAACAAATCTAATCCCAAGTCCAATAAGATGAGAAATCTAGCTTGATAGGCCCAATAACTAACATAACTAAACAGGCTCCTCCTAAGCCTTATTGTGCCTCCATGATAGTGAAAAAACTATAGATGATTTTGGAGAAAGTATCTCATTCCCTTACAGAAGAATCCTTGGCTCTGCATCATCATGCTTTTATTCAATGCGTTGAGGAAGCTCGTGTTCCATTGATTACTCTAAGTGGAGAGAAAATTAACATCATGTCATATTCCAAACTACTTGATTCGTCTTACCTTAGTAGCTGCGGTGCCGAAGGTAATAAGGCCAATGGTTGCCACTCTAGGGACTATTTTGTCCATTGAAGATTATCATATGGAATAATTGCTAACGTTATGTTCTACAAGCCAACAAGGTTGGCAAGACAATCTTATGTACTTGTGATCAAATTACACTCATTATATTTATGGCATTCTTTATCGAACATTAATTGTATTCTTTTGTTTATATTAAATATCAATAAAATCTTTAGAATGTTTGTTGTATTGAAAGGTAATAGCAATCGGTACTATTAGTGTGAATCATATGATATAATAGCAATATTCTTAAATTGTCCATTAGTCGTATATATCATTGAGGTGAGACATCAATGTTGTAAAATTGTCGTGTGTGATACTTACTAGGTGGTAGAACTTCTTCTCACAAGGTCATGTATCATGCAATATCCCAAAATTTTCTAAGACCTTAACATTTAAATTAGGGACTTATGTGGTGGAAATTATTTTTATTGGATTTAATAGCTAAAATTCACAAAGTTAAGAGGGTTAAAAGTAAAAATTTGAGGATAAAAATGGCTGAGCTAATTTCCTCTATTCTTGCCTTTTTATAGCATTTTTCTTCCTTCTCCTAACAAGGGTTAGAGATTTATGAGCTTATAATACTTAAAATCATGATAAAAAAACTCAGATCTTGTTGCTGATATTCTTCCATTTTTTGGTCCATGTCGAGTGGGAGGAGAGGCTACCATTTTTCCAGTACTTCTGGTAAGAAATTTGACATATTGCTCACCTTTTCATCTTTAATTTGAAGTGAATTATCTTTAATCATTTAAGGTTTTCAATTTTAGGAGTGTTTCTGTAGTTTCCCCCCTTGATTTTGCCAATAATCTAGCATCATTAGCTCTGATCCCTCTTTTTGCTGCAAATTTATTGTAATTTGCCCATAGGTCTTTCTGTAGTTATCAAATTAAGTCCATTTTTAATTTTGTAGAAAGCTAAGAGATAGCCCTACAACTTTTATGTTGGATGTTTAACCCAATTTAATTTTTTTCTTGGTAGAAAATCTTCTACAAATCTGATTCCTACAGGCGGACTTAACTAGCAGCCTGCCCTGTGTTGGTTTTTTGGCCATAACTCTCTTTGTAGATGTTGGATTAATGTAATTTTTGATGAAATAGAACACTAAGACATTGGGCTACAACTTATCAGTTGACCACTCAACCCAAATCAGTCAATTTCAAGGTGTGAATTTTGTTGGAATTTCCAGCACGAAATCTAACCAGAACTTGACAGAAATGACTCTTTTCTATTTTATTCCCACTTTATCTGCTGCTATTGTAATACCCCAAAATTTCCTAGAGCATTAAGTTGAGTTAGGGACCTAATGGTGAAGGAACATTATTAATGGACCTAACTGTCAATTTTTCAAACTTAAAGGGGTTAAAAGGCTATTGGATAAGGCCGGCTGACTCATTCCTTTTTATCTTTTTCTTCTTTCCTTCTTTCTTCCCCAGCATTTTCGCGTGTCTGCTCTGTTTTCCTTTCTCCCTGCAGCCGAGCATCACCAGCCATAACCGAAGCCTCCACCTCAAAATTGGTAAGAGAACTTGATGATTTTTGTTCTCCTCTTGCTCAAGAACGAGTCTAGAACTTAGAACTTCTCTCTTTTGCAGAGAAGCCGCCGGATCTGCTCTGCTTCCTCCCCCTTTTGCCGCCGGCTGCTGCTGGTTTTCCTGGTAAAAATCAGCCATAAACTCCTCCTTTCAGCCTTAATTTATGTGGGTTCATCCTAATTTTGTTCTTTCAATTGCTAGTAGTGATCCCGTGGAAGCCTCCCCAATTTTCCCGCC